ATCCAAGATTCTAATTCAGGCCTATCTGACTCATGCTGCACTATAATACTTCTAAATCTGGAACATCTCTTTCACTATTAAATAACATATCAGAATCTTGAACTAGTCAAAGGAAAAGCTTTATTCAAAGGGAAGGCAAACAAGATAGTTGATTGCTTCTATTTTCAATGATGGCATTTTCTTAGATTAATTATAAAATGGTGGTTCCAAGGCAAAAAAAAAAAAAAAAAAGAGTTGCTATCGTGAAACTCTTTCAGGTAACTCTTGGGGTATAGCATTTTCCAAAATACATTATTAGAAATACAAAACCTGAAGTTACATTACCCATTTAACACTAAAATTAAAAGCAGAAAGTTAATCAGGAAAAATAGACTCTGTTAACTTTGTTTTCAAGGATTAGAATTCTCTTAAAAGTTACAGCTAAATAAAAATGAAACATAAAATAGAAACTTTAGATCACAGTACAAAATAAACTTCAAATCAGATAGTAACAGGCTGTAAAAGCGTGGCTTCTAGAGTCATGTAACGCAGATTAAAATCACAACCCCACCTCTTACTAGTGATGTGATCTTTGCCCCTCTGAGCCACAGTCTCCTCGTCTGTAAAATAAATATGATAAAGGAACCTACCTCATAGGGTTGTCATGAAGATTAAATGTAATACTCCATGTAATGTACTGGGCATACAGCCTGGTAAATAGCAAGCAGTCAATAAATATCTGCTCTTACTTTTATCATCATTACAGCCTTTTATTTAAAATGGATATGCTGACGTAAAATGAGGGGTTTGCATTTATCTCTGCATGTTTCAAAGCTAAAGACTCCTGGACACTCAAAATCCCAAATAGTTTTCTCTAAATAGATATTAAAATGCTCCTGGCAATAGCTGCTTTTAAATAACTCATTTTCCAAGGCTGAAGCACAGAATTCAAAATCCCAGGCCGAGCCCATTTATACTGCCCTGTTGTAAGATGCTGCACACAAAAGTAATTGTTTGGCTTGCAGACCCTTTGTCACCCAAAAGCTCCCATAGCCACACAATTAAGTTTAGGCCACTCAGGGTTTAGCATTCTTTTTCTGAAATGGAGTCTACATGCATTACTCTGTGTGTGTGTGTGTGTGTGTGTGTGTGTGTGTGTGTGTGTGTTTCTGGATAAATGATACAATCTACAGAGGTAGAGCAAACATTACAACGCCTAAGACTGGGTACTTCAACATCCAATTAGAGTTGAGTGAGTTGTGCCACAGCCCAAAGGCCAGATGCTAAAGTCACCTGGTCCAGCCCAGCACAGGCCATCGCCTATCCCTCCTGCATGGAAAGCAAAGCCTCTAGGGATTTCACTGAGCCACAAAGCTGAAGACCCAGGCATGCTGCATTTTTTTCCTCCTAAAGAAATTTACATGCTATTTTCCCACCCTGTCACTGAGCTGGGATATTGAGGTTAAAATGTACCTACTGAGTAGGTAATGCATTTGGTATTAAGGATCCATCATATGCGTATGTCTTCTGAGCATAATGGTTCCCTTGGAGCTATTATAGGTATGCCGTGAATAGATATTAGAAATAATACACAAAGAGTGGCTGAAGGAGATCCCATATTAACTACTGTCAGACTTTTAACATTATTCTAAAATAAGCTTTTTTTTTAATTCCTAGGGTTTAATACCTCTACACTTTGTAAACTGAGCGCTTTTCAAAGAGAGCTCCAAATTCCTACAGAGCTGTCTTTAGGTGAGCTTTGATCTTTGCAGGGCACCTATCTTGTGTTTCTATAATTGCTGTGGTTTAACAAGGCTCCCTAGCATGTGAAGGGGGGCAAATCCTTTTATTAAGGCTATAAACCTAACTGACCATAGTGACGGAATGTGCAGCTTGGTGGTAGCCCTTAGCTCCCCAGGAAAAAAAAAAAAAAATTGAAACCAGGGAAAGTCTTCATGTTAAAACAAAATGAAATATTTATTAAACATGTTTCTGGTGTCCCAGGTGGTAAGAGGCTGCACTGTGGTCCGCTGAAAGGTTTGATCTTTGTTAAGTATTGTGAATGCTGATTTCAATAATGGGGTGAAAGCTGAGGAAGTTATGGCTGAAATTTTGGCTAAAGATGACAGCTCCAGGTTTCAAGTTGCACAAAGCAGTCTGAGGGATTAAACCAACAAAGCCTGCTCAAAAGTATTGAGTTTCCAAAAGTGTAATCTTCCTATCAGTGATTCACACTCCTAGGATAAGGAGGATTCCTCATTTACTTTGACTTTGCCATATTAATCTTACTTTACAAATACATGTGGTGATTTATATCATGTTTAATTAACTGATTGAGGGTGCCAGTGGTAAAAATGGCATCGCATTAAGCTCTGTCCGTATGGCAAATTCGAATCACATCCTTAGCCTTGCAAGAACAAAATATCCCGAGAGTCACTGATGACAGGATGTAGGAATTGAAATCAGGTCCCTCCTGTTGTTTGAGAATCTAGGGAGGGTGCCTGCCATATGCCCGTCACTTCCAGGCGGGGGAAATGACAGGATAAAAGAAAGGAAGGCTCTAGTTCTTCCAATATGTTCAAATCTCAGATGAAAATGATTGTGCAGCAGTGCTGTACAGAGGCCAAGATTCACATGAAAGTACATCTCAAACTTTGCAGAGAGCTTAATGAGAGGGTTTTGTGGTGTTTTGATATGTGGGGTTTTCTTTTGTTTTGTTTTCTGAAATGGCTGCTCAGGGTTTTTGAGAACTGAGAGGCGAAAAAGCTGTCGTTTAGAGTTAAAAATAATAAGCAGGATTTTTTTTAATAAAAGAGGAATTATTATTTAATAAAATATATGTGCACTATGATTCCATAGAAATCAAATTGGGTTTGACGACTAAAACCACACATTGGGATGCTCATTTTAAAATTAACATCTTTGAAAATGGGAGTTGCCTAATTTTTCTCCTCAAAAATCTATGGTGATTATTTATGACATCTGAAGAAAAAATATAAATTGATTACTGATAATAATTTTGAAATGTTAAAATGTATTTTAAATTACATAAGACAACATAATAAAAGCTTGAAAAGAGGGTAAAAAATCCATTTCAATCTTTAATTTGATGATTAACATTTTTGTGCATCCTCTTTTAGTGTTTTATTGTTTGCGTGTGTTAAAATTATTATAATCATGCTACACCTTCATCTTGTTTCCTTTTTTTAACTTAGTATTTTTCCCATATTTCTAATACTGCTGCATACCAATTTTATTGACTGCATAATATTTCATCAAATGAATATTGTCATCTTTGCCTAACCAAGCTTCCACTGATAGATATTAAAATGCCTTCCAATGTTTGCTATTATAAATAATGTTATAAAGAAAATTTTTATATATGGCTTTTTCCACATTTTGAATTATTTCCTTGGAGAGATTTCCTATACCAGTTTAAGTTGCCATACTGTTTAGGTTTCTTAAAAGATTGTATAGAAGTAAAGACATTTTTCTTCCAAGGAAAAGTAGAAAGTAAAACATTCTATAATGGTGTCATTATATAGAAAAACAAAAATCTTACTTGAAATTAACATGCAATCTGAGTGATGACTTCATTCCCATAGTAAGTATCGGCAACATGAGAAAAATATTTAATTTTTACTGTTTTGTTCTCTAAATGTTGTGTTCTTCTTTAAAATAAGCATATGGTGACAATGAAATAAATTCAGAAATTTCTATTTTGTTTTACTCATCACTTATTGTTTTGATTTAGAAAAAAGTCCTTTCAAGTATAATTTAAATTTTGAAATTTTTAACAGTTTCCTAGAGGATATTACAAATAGACTATTAAGTCAGCACTAAGGTCACTTTTTAAAATGATCATTATTTTGGTTAAATCTGAAGTATGGTCCTCATCATTAATAATCTTAGATGTTTTCACGGCTTCAATTCAGAATATGATAAATTGGGTAAGTTAGGCAATATATTTTAACTAAAACCACTTTGGATTTTGACACGGAATTCAAACTTTTCAACTGTGCTGTGTTGCTGCATAAGCAGCCTGTAAAAAGAATAATCACCTCAATTTTTTCGACTTCCTGGAATCATTCAAAACAGAGTAGTTAAGGATTGCTTCATTTGGAAGTAATAAGTTCCAAAACAGTCTGCCACAGTATAGTTTAATTACTGGTCTCAATTCTCAACCTTGTAGATTTTCTTAACCATCCTATTTTTGTTTTGTTTTGTTTTCAAAAAAAATGTACAAACTTAAAATTCTATTGGCAGCCTGGTTTATCAAAAAAAGTTAGCTGCTTTATTTAACTTAGTCTATGATTTTATGACATACCATCAAATTCAGGTCAAGGGTATATTAGGGATCAAATAATTTTGGAAGCCAGAAGTGCATTTCCCTAGATGGTTTCTTCAGCCGATGTTATTATTAGTCTGAGATCATGTAACAGCTTTTGTTTTCCAAATCTATTCCTTTCAGTGAAGTCTATTTCTTTGCATAGTTTAAAAACAAAGGCGGGAACCCAGGAGGCGGAGCTTGCAGTGAGCTGAGATCCGGCCACTGCACTCTAGCCTGGGCGACAGAGCGAGACTCCGTCTCAAAAAAAAAAAAAAAAACAAAGGATAAGCATTCCTTATGGGGCACTGGAAGGAGAGGTAATTCATGTGAATTTGATAAAACATAATGTACTGGACTGACAGTAAAAAGGCTTTGCTTGTTTGATTGTTGACTAGTTTTGTCTTTAAATAATGGTCTTCTTTTGGCATTTAATGTATATTTGGTCACAATAAACATAATTTATGAATATTTTAACACATGCATACTCAGTGGGGTGGATTATCATACTGATATAAACAGAATTAATGAGCAGTCAACCCGCCACATGCCATGACATATGACGGGGCAGCCAGTGCACAGAAATAATCCTCATAGTTTCATAATAAAGCTTTTCTCTTAGTTCAACTTTTTTAAACTACTTACAGTCTTATTTCTCCTTTCTGTTGGAGTATGGTTCACCAACCTGTGAAACAAGATTCAGATTTTACTGCAAGAATCTACTTCTTTGGCATTCAAAAAACAATTTTCTTGCTTTCTCTAAAACAAAATAAATATATTTGAACAAAATAACTCTATTAGGCCAAATTTCAGGGAATAGGTTATAGATAGACAAGACATATGTGTATTAGAAAAAACTGCTTTATTCTTTTCTCCTTTTCCTTTTATGACAATAGCATGATTATGCTCAATTGCTGCTACCAGATCTTCACAAGAACAAAAACTTTCTAAACAGTTCTACATTCTAAAACAGATCTGATGGGCATATTGCCTGGATAAAATTATTCCGGAAAAAAAAAATCTTCTTAGCCAGTTATCTGCTCTCCTTGAACACAAAGCAACAATCTGTTAAGCGTGCCTAATAAGATTTTTTTTTAAAGGAAAGAACTCACTAGTATAAAGCCACCTCTTCATATGGTAGGTATTGGGGGGAGACATGGGCATGCAAAATCTTCAATTTAGCTATACTTTATTTAACAAAGAATTATTTTTGTGAAGAGACAAATTGAAATTTAAGATTAACCTTCATTTTCTCTTATTATTTTCACAGTTTGATTACAGGCAAAAGTGGGAAAAAATAAAATTAGCATGTGCACTGCATTGTCCAGATGATCTGGCAGGAGGAGAGCCTTGGCAGAGATATTATACTATGACTTTTTACAAAGGCAGATGGCAGGATTGCAGCCTTTATTCCTCTTATCTTTCATTTTCAAAGGGAATACTCGAAGCTTTCTGCCACCATCCCCTCCACTCCTACCCTCCTATGTAAAAACACTGTCTCCCCAAATCAACACTCTGTCCTAAAACACGCAAGCCCCAGGATGCATGAGGGAAGGGACGGACTGTGACACCAAGCTCCTGGTCATCTGTGAGAGGAGAGAAGTGCACTGTGTTGTGTGGGCTGGGGCCTGATGAACTTCCCCGGAGTGACTCCCTTGGGGAATCCAGCCCTTTCACCGGCAAAGAAAATGGGCACCACCTAGTGCTTTTTCAATGCAAAGGCTGTTTGTGCTGGTGTGGACAGGAGTGGGCATGCGTTGGCTGACCTTTACAAAGGAAAAAAAAAAGGAGTCAGGTGGCGTAAACAACCCCTATGCCAACTGAAAGAAGAAGCAAGGGACAATCTTAAGACAAAGGAATTCAGTGCTTCCAAATTATGGATTTCTTTGGATTTCATTTGTTTGTTTTTTAATAATTATTGGTCTGTTCATGAGAAATAACATCTTTACTTACCAAGTCGCTAATTCCCTCTGTATCACGTTTTTGCCTCTTCATTTCCTCTGAGGTTAACGTGTAACAATTTCTAAGAATTTTCATTTGGTCCAAAGTGACAAAGCAGAGCAAGTGCCGGCCCACTCTCACCCCCAAAATCTATTCTAACAAGCAGTCTCTCTGGAGTTCTCCTAACACAACAAATAGCTTTTATGAAAAATGATGTGTAGCACAAAATCTTTTGCAGTGCAATAAGATCAAGTTAACCACTCATGCCTCTAGGAAAAAGCCTAGGAAGTTTTATCTGATTGGCAAAATGGACCCAGATATGAGTTCAAGGATTGAGTACACTTTGATGAAATTTCACAGCAATGAAGTCTGATTATCTGAATGATTGCTTAAGCCTTTTAAAACATAACTTGAGGAAGCACTAGATTTTTCATTGGGAAAACAGATGGTCTTGTAGGGAATCACAGCACCGCCATCTCATGCTGTTTACGTTTTCTACAACACTTTGCCTAGAATTACTCTCACCACTATTGCTTTTTAAAAATAATAACAATGGTTTCTTCATTGCTAAAAGGTAGATCTTTCTGAAATAAAATTAGAAATCTTAGTGGAGGGCAAGGTGAAGGGCAGAAATGGGAAGAATGAGTAACCTGCTACACCTAACTGGATTAACAAGGACCTGCTTAAATATCCAGGAACTAACTGGCTGGCTCTGAACTCATTAGGGATCTGCTTATCTGTTATGCTGTACACCAGAATCCAGACAAAAAACAGACTGTGAAGAAACAGACTAAAAATGATTGTAACTTCTCTCAGTTAAGAGTTCAGTATCTGTGCTAAGCAACCTCTGTAGAAGGGACTGAAGAAAACAAAGCCCAAGATTCTGAACTTCGCTCCACTGCCTATCCCCAAGTTCTGCTGTTATAAGATGGCAATAACGCTACTTAGATATAGAACTTTGCAACTGTATTATGAACTAACCTGAAAAGTCACACGCACTCTCATCTCTTGGTCATTTTATTGCTGTAATTTATGATATTAAATAGGTGATTTGTTTAAAATAAATTTTAAAATTTATACCAAGGAGGAAAAATAATCTTAAAATAGATTTGTTCTATGAGCATCAAGAAAGAAAAAAAAAGTGAGTAGTGAACTGATCTCTCTCAGATTTCACTGGCACAAAATATATCCCTTTAGGCTTAACACTAAATAGGTGATCTCGTCTTGACAGACTTAAGATGCACATGAATTGATTAGCTGAAGCCATCAGGTGTGGCTGAGCCTGTCTTTTTCCAAATATGTACCTACAGGACAATGGAAGGAGGTAGCTATTGTCATTGCCTTTTTAAGTGGAAGCAGTGTTATGTTTTGTATTCAAGTCGAATTCCCCAACTCTTCATATCACCACCATTCTGGTCAGCCTGTTAAGGGAAGAACAACAACAACAACACTTACTTTCTTTTTTTCTTCCCTGCCCACCCAGCCCCCCTTTTCCACTGCCTGCCTTGCCCTGAATGCTATAGTTCACAGCGAAACCCTCTGGTAATGACAGCCCTGAAGTGATAATGTACTTTCCTGCCTTCCAGTTAACGGCAGCATAATCCCGCCATGTGTGCCAGCCCTGTGGCAGAAGGATGCGTTCATATTTTCTGGAGGTAAAAGGGACTGGTTCAATTTATAGCCTTGACTACCTCAGCAGTTTCACTAAGTTCTGGTACATAAACGGATGCTTTATTAAAGAAGAAAAGGAAGGTAGAAGGGGAGGAGGAAGAAGAGGAGGAAGAAGAAAAGAAGAGAAGGAAAGGAGGTGGAAAGGAGAATTCGTCTTTTTCTGCTCAATACTATGTCAGTCAAACCAAATAATATGTTTTGGTTCCTCCCCCTGAGCATTCCACCCAGGTAAACAAGGAACTAAGGTGAGTAATATCAAATAAATGCACTGGACTTGGAGATGTGGGCTCCCTGTGTAACAAGCAATGGGTAGCATGTGATAACACATTTATCCTCTCCCTCCCGTTAACTCACCTCTGCTGAGAGAAGCTGCGCATGGCAAGTGGCCCCCACACACCTGGCTAGACGACATCTGAGGGCTCAGAGGGCCCTGCTGCTCAAGCGTGCCAGAATGGTCCCACCATCCTCACACTCACATTTTTGATGGATGATGCGTCATTCTGCTAAGGTAACAAAAGTGAAAACAATCAATAGTTCTAACCAAATATTTTATTTTAAGAATGGGGCCAGAGTGATTTCTTGGCTATGAGCAGCTCAGGAGACACTATTTGTCGTTGTTTAAATACAACTGATTTTCCTTGCTTCAGAACCTTGCTGCAGAGCTCCTGGTGTGCCAAGCATGGATGAATTTGTAATATATGAAACAATGATACCTGTTTGTTTAAGGACATCTTGTTTGCTAATGTCAGTGTTGCATTACTCTGTGGTTCCAAAACTTCAAGTCCACACTGGAGAAGGTGGGGGCAGCCTGTGGACAGAGGCAGTAAAGAAGGGACATTGTTTTGAATGCCTGTTAGCTTGTAGGCACAGTTCTATGCTCTTTTCTGTAAAACAGGCCAATGATACTGGAAGCCAAGAGTGTCTGGCTGTGGAGCCCCTGTTTCTCCACTATACCAATAATCAAAACTCACAGTGAGAAGTACATTTGTAATGTAAACCAACACACGCATACATTACCAAAACAAGGTTTCACAAAACAATATTTACCTTTATATAGACAATTCACTCTTATTTTACCAGTCCTACTCCATAATAATTCAATTCTTTAAAATTATGGTTGCAACCCCACTAAATTGGCCTCATAATCTACCACTGTAATATGGCCCACTGTTTGACACACACTGGAGTACACCTTGGTACCCTTCAAATTTTTAAATGATGCTGTGTTGGACTTGGTACCCATGTGATGATCAAGAGTGTATTTGAAGATGTTGCATAGAAAGTCCCATCCATATGATTCAGTTTTTTTCATCTAAGAACTAGAAATTATAATATTTATTCCCCAAAACTCCCCAGTTGAATTCACTGGAGGTGTTCATTGCTTCTCAGAGAGTCTGTTACTTAAAATAAAAACAATTAAAATTAAGATAGCAAGTATTTTAGCAGCAAAAAACACAAAAAAAAGAAGAAGAATTATCATTGCTATTGTTAACAATAATTGTTGAACTCACAACCTGCTGGCCACTGCTCTATGAGCTTTCAATATAGCTCATTCAGTTCTCACTATCACTTTATGAAGTACGTAAATATTACTTTCGCTTTACAGCCAGAATTCCTTTATCTTCTTTTTCATAAATTTCTCATTCTAAACTGTTAATATACATCTCAGAAAATAAATGAGATTGTGACTATGACTCAAGAAATACATATTTCTATGGTTGATTTAAATAAAATGCAAAAGCCTGTATCATCTAATTGGCTTGATAAATCTTACTAGCTTTTTAACAATCATGAAATTTAAATTTTTTTGTAGAAAACTTTTAGAATACTTAATGAAAAGTTAGTATGTATTCACCTTCAAAAAACACAAATTTCTAGGTATAATAGTCAAGAATATCTGCAAGTCCAAATGTAATAACAGTGCCAGGGCTGGTTGATTCAGCAGCTTATCACTGTCATTGGGGACTCAGATTCTCTCCATCTTTCCACTCTCCCATCCCTCATCAGCTTTGTCCTATGAAGGCTGCACAGATCCAGGTGTCACATCCAGCATCACAGTGACAAGAACAAAGGTCTCTTTCTCAGGAGCCAACTAAATGCCCCTTAAATCCCAATTAGCAAATTTCCTTTGCTAAAAATGAGTTATATGCCAATTCCTAAACTAGTCACTGTTAGGGTGTAGAATCACTGTGATTGGATTAGAAAAGCTCTGCCTCCTGGAACTAGGAATGAGGTTCTTTGCCCTGAAGCACAGAGATCTGTGGACAGGAAGAGGGGTCTTGCGGGAAATATATATACAGAGTAAGCAGTGTCTGATACAAAGACGAAAAATATTTCTTTTGACAGGAAGATTTGGTAAAATATAATATAAAGTAGAATTATTTCTCATTATTTAATCTGTTTAATGTTTCATAAAAATTAGCAAATTTAATGAGGAAATATAGCTGTAAGAATCCACTACGCATTTGCTGTTTGCTCTGAAATTAACAGGACTCAGTGCTTTCATTACTAGAAAGAAGAAAATTAGGTAGGTTAATAAAACAAACATCTGGAAAGTATCAACACTCATAAAAATAAACGGAATCATCCTGTGTATACACTAAAGCCAGGTTGGCATTTGTCAACAACTACAGATACAACACTACAGAATTTACTACTTCCAACTTCCTGGGTGGGTTTGTTCTCATTCATTTAATATATTTTCCTAAGTGAAAATTTAGTTTTAGGTTTTGAAATGCAACCATATAAGAATATGTAGACTAACAGTGTTTACTAGTTTTTAATAATGCCTACAGTTTCCCATATTTGGTTGCATTTTTCCTGCTGTACTATTGCTTCTGAGCTACCTGTTCCACTCTCAAAAACATGCAAGCTGGGATTTTTTTTCTTTTCCTTTAACTAGTTATTTTGCCAAATTTTCAGACTCATAGTAAAGAGCTTTTATTTTTCACCAACCTAATGATTACAAAAGCAGTTTTTAGAATAGCTCTAAGAATTCTCATATAGCCTTCATCTGCATTCCCCAAATGTTAACATTTTACTACATTTGCTGTATCTCTCTTTGTGTGTACAGGCACAGACATACACGGAATGTCTATGCCTTATATACACATGTATACCTCTGTGTATACATGTAAGTATATTTGCACACATTTTTAATAGATTCTGAGTTTTTTAATTATTTGAGAATAAGTTATAGTCATGAAACCCCTTTATTTTTAAATACTTGTGTATGTTTCCAATAAAGAAGAAATTCTCCAATGAAACCAAAAGATTATCAAAATCAGAAAACTAGCATTGATATAATACTCTTATCTAATTTATAGGCTTTATTCAGATTTCAATACTATTTTTATGGTCAAAAAAATCAAATGTCATGGGTCATGCCCTGAATTCAGTTGTCATTTCTCTTTAGTCTTCTTTATTCTGACACAGTCCTTTAGTGTTTTCCTGGCAGAATGCTGTTAATATCGGTCTTCAGCAAAACATAATTAAGAGAGGAAACATGCTAAGCCAGTGGATTCGTATGGATGGTGGCTTGAGTGGGATTCGTCCTGCCTTTGTAGCCTTCCTCTTGCAGGGATAATAGGTGTGAGTATGTTTCATTATTCTCTTAGAAATCCTGACCTGTACCACAAATGTGAAGGACCAACTGGAGAACTAGGTGATCCATCAGTTTATTAATCAACTCATCTCATGCCAATGAATAGCAACAAGAAGATCCCAAAACACCTGAAATAAGTCTAAATATTCTAAACATTTATAAAAACATGGGGGGCATTATAGAAAAAAACTTACAAAAACATTTGTTTCAATCACTGCATGCTTAGATGCAATCTTTAAAAGTACTTCAATGTAAATAATTAGAATGGAGATGTTTATAATTGGTTAAAGGCTCATTATTTCTGAACCAATGTGCAGAATTTGGTTTATAAGTATAAGAATAAAGACATTTGGATCAATTCTCTTATCTTTTTATTAACATTTAAATTAGCCTACAAAAAAAACCACATATATAAAAGTCTTCTAAAGCCTGAGAAGCTCATTTGCTTTTATGTAGGACACACTGATGGTTTTAATTTTTTAATCTCTCAGACTGCATCTGTATAGCAACAAGCAGATACTTTAGCAAGGAATAAATTGTTCCAAAAAGGCATGGGCAAGTGTGTCTTATAACTTTTTTTTTCTGAAAGATCCCAGTAAAATATTTTCTGATATGTTTTCAAACCAATGTATTCTATCACATGAAAGACAAGTTACCTGACAACATGGTTATTTGCAGTTATGTTATAACCAGATTTGTAACTGACTCTCCCTCCTCCAGTCTTATGAAAGAGAAGGAAGAAATTATAGCCTGGAAGAGAATATTCCCAAATGGAGTGAGCTAGGGCATCTAAATCTATAGCTGGGGCTGCAAAACACTTTGCTTCATTCAAGAAACATTTTCTTGAGTTGATTTTTTATGTACCTATCTTAAAAATAAGATAGTGCTCCCGGAGTAAGATTAGTAGCAGCAAACCCTTACTTACCCTGTTTTCAGTAGTGAAAACAGATTATAAACCCCATTTTTCTACTACAGAGTTATAAATACAACAGCCGTGCCGAAATCATTTGTTCATTGAGTTCAGCTCAAGATTATACTCAAGTCTGATTGCAAAAGCCCATTCTTATGGAAGAAGAGACAAAAGGCTAACAACTCTCTGGGAAGAGCGTCAAAGACTCAATGTTTACAAGAAGAAATTGAGGGGAAGATTGGAGAATAATTTTCTCTGGGAGAATGATGATGGCTTAGGGGTCTTTTGTAGAGAAAGTTCTTTGCTAGGATTAAAGGCAGGATTATTGGTGGATAATTGAAAAATGGAATGGAGAACCTCTTAAAATGGCAATGTATTCAGAATATCCAGGGGGTTCTTGAAATGTGAATTCTAAGGAAATAGGTAGTATTTAAGAAGAAAAGATAAACTCAAACTCACTATGTCAAGTGATAAAACTGCAAGCGAATCACAAAGGGATGGAGTTGCCAATGCCTTCAGAGGAAAAACAAAAGACCAATAACACAGTGACTTGGGTCGCCTTTTAAGTCAAGGTACCAATTCAAGAAAATCCTAATGAGAAAGAACTCAATCTGCTCTGCAGATTATGTTATGACTATATAATGGCTAAAGAACAATAGTAACTAGAACCTGAATAAATGTTATATTGCTCATTGTATCTAATTTCACAAAGTTATTGTTACCTTAAATCATACATTTATCAGAACTGTTTTATGTAAAAGTAATGTTTGAGGTTGACTCCTCATAGTAAAATTAAGTGCTTCTAAATTTAAAGTATGTGAAACAGGATGTGCTATGGGCTGAATGTTTGGGTCTCTCTAAAATTCATATGTTAAAATCCTAACCTCCAAATCAATGCTAGTAGGAGGCAGGGCCTTAGGGAGGTAATTAGGTCACAAGGTGCAGCCCTTATGAATGGGATTAATGCCTTTATAAGAAAAAGAACAAGAGACATTTTTTTTTCTTACTCTGCCATGTAAGGATACAAGGAGAAGTCAGCCATCTGTAAACCAGGAAGGGGACCCTCACCAAGAAAATGACCATGCTGGCACCCTGAACTGAAACTTCCAGCCTCCAGAACTGTGAGAAATAAATGAAACAAATGTTTGTTGTTTAATATACTCAATCTATAGTAGTCTGTTATAGTAGCCAAAACTGACTAAGACAAAAAGTTTCATTTGAAAGCAATCACTAATGTATAATTCTGAACTTGACATTCACTATTGCTAAGGTTACATTGGTTTCCCAACTGCTAAAAAAAAAAATAAAAATCAGATAGCTCATCTGAGAAGACACAGAGATGGAAATCAAGCACATGAAAAATATGCTTAGCATCACTGGTCATTAGAAAAATGGAAACTAAAACCACAATGAGATGCCACTACACAAGTATCAGAATGACCAAAATAAAAACATTTTTTAAAATTTAAATGACAATATTAAGTGTTGGAAAAGATGCAGAGCAACTGCAACTCTCAGATATAGCTGATACAAATGGAAAATGGTACAGACACTTTGGAAATCAGTTTGACAAGTTCTTATAAAATTAAATATATACTGGGCATGGTGGAGTTTTCCCGTAGTCCCAGAACTTGGGAGGCTAAGGCAGGAGGATAGCTGGAGCCCAGGAGTTCAAGGCTGCAGTGAGCTATGATCATGCTACTGCACTCTAGCCTAGGTGACAGAGTAAGATGCTGTCTCAAAAAAAAAAACAAAACAAAAAACATTAAACATTTACTTACCATGCATCTCAGCAATTCCATTCGTAAGTATTTACCCAAGTGAAATTTAAAAACCACCCAAATGTTCCTCAGCTGAGGAATAGATAAACTAACTAGTACATTCATAAAATGGAATACTGTTTAGTATATTCATAAAATGGAATACTGTTCAGCAATATAAAAG